TTCAGCCTGAGATTATTGATTTACTCCAATGCCTCCCCGTATCTGCCGGACTTGGAGTTCGGAGAGATGTTCGGGGGGTGCAGGAGTTCTTTTCTCTGATCTCTGGGAATGAAGTTATCTTGAGGAATGGTTTTATAGATCTCACATCCTTGGCTGTACTGGCTGGATATAAATTCCACTCCAAGAATATGACTGCGATGGGAGTTCAAGTGATGGGTTCTCTCTTAAACAAGATGGTTTCTACAGCAGATGATCTCTGGGGACTTAGGTGGGAGGAGATTCCTGACCCTCTGAAGTGTTATGCGTTGGGAGATATTAAGTTCGGATTCATTACGTACAATGTACTAGCCGGATTACTCCTTAGAGATGTTTTTCCAGACCCTGATGTACTATGTTGGTACCTGGAGTCGGATCAATTCTGTGCTGTGACTTGGTTTCTCGACTGGATTTTGAGATCCCTAGAAGGAGTTGAGGTTTACCAGATGGCAGAGGAGGAGGCTGAGACTAGAGTCGCCATGATCAGGTCCTTGAGATTTAGAGATGATCGTGATAAGCTGGAGAGTGATACCACTCCCCTTCTCAAGGTATGGATGCAAGTACTGGGGTCTTGGCCATCTGTTTCTAGTGGAGGGTGTAGAATTCTTCTTCAGGCTCGAGAATGGTTCGGAGTTCAGTCGGAGATCCTGTCTAAAGTTCAAGTGGATTGGTCAAATGAGGTGGTATTCCGACTTCCCAGGGTTTCAGATAAAGACTATCTCAGGTTTGGTCTGAAAGAGGAGGAGCTCTCGAGTGATTCATGGAAGAACCCGGTACCTGGAGTAAGAGGGATGACCCGGCCTCCTGGAATGCATGCTGGATTCCTAGTGTTCGATCCTTCTGTGGATTTATGTTCTAGGATTGGTGAACTATGCTCTGCTCTTGGGAGAAATCAGCGTTGGTGTATCCTGGAATGGGCCAGAATGTTCCCGGAGAAGTTCAAGGCGTTCTTTGCGAGGATGATGCGGGATACAGAGTTCAGGTTGTATTACAAGATGATCTATGACTGTATGAGGCTTTCTTATCGACGGATTTTTGATATTGTTGCTCCCAGAGTGGCCAGAGTGGAGTTGGGTTTAGCTCAGGGAGTATTGAATACTCTAGCTCAGGAAACCCGATTGCTGGAGAAGTCCAGGAAGGAGACTGCTTTGAGAGAAGCCCGTGTAAACTGGCTAACTGAACTCTCCGAGGATTCGACTTTCCGTGAGAGGTCTAAGTGGAGAGAAGGAATACCAGAGTTACCTGTTTGGAGGAGGAGAGGTGGTCAGAAGAGGTCATACTCCAAAGTTCAAAAACCTGGTAAGGATCAAAGGAAGAGATTGAGATTGGCTAGACAGAAACCCTCTTCTAATCCCGTCCCTGGTGATGTTTCTGCTGTGGATAAGAATGCTGCTGAATCCGTAATTACGGAGAAGAATGTTCCTGGATGCTCTGGTGTGACCAGAGGAGCTGTCTGCTCCAGGTCTGTTGTGAGTAGGGAGCGAGCTAGGTCTAGGAATAAGAAACCTGCCCGAGTTCTCACTTATGATGAAATTATTGAAGGAGAGGATACCATTCCGTTCCCTGATAATCTAGAGTTCAGGTTCGAGATTCCTGAGGAGGTTGAGGGTATTGAGTTGTTCTAGCTCTTCTGAGTGTTGGAGATGATTAGTGATTCCAGAACCTTGTGAATAAACAAAGAGTGATTTTTTTCAGGGAATGAGATTCCAATTATACTGGTAAATATCTTTGAAGCATGATGATGTTCTTCTTGCTTCCTGGCTGCGTTGGGGGAGTGTTACGCGACGAAATCGTCTCGTCTAAACTATTAACCCCTGACGGACTCGATTGTGCTGTGAAGCCCCTGTGGAGGGGAGAGCTGGACTCCGTACTCTCTGAACATTTAAACCAGTTATAAGTGTACGCTACCTACACGCCATATTGTTTCATGAATTTTCTCGTCAGTTAAAATTGATATTTACGGATAGTAAACCTGTGTGATTTTTCGTAGCTAAGGCACTTTGAGGTACATATCTTTTTATATATATATATGTTGGATAAAAGGAATTGATTTATGTATCTTCGCAAATACGAGTTTAAACCTTGTGAATATGTTTTAGTTATTAAATCATTGTCAGAATCCCTTTTTCCTTAAAAAGGCTTGATTGTAACGATATAAATTGAGTTTTACAGAGGCCTTAACTTTTGAAGGATTGTGTGCTAGATTCTTTTTGCTTGTATGATTCAATAAAGTTTTAATTCGGTCAATCTTTAGATTGAACCGTGTATCCTGTAATTAGAGCCCTGATTATTCTGAGACTGAGAGATTGTAGAAGAGTCTAAGGAGTCATGAAATTATAGGAAGTTCCAATCAACCTGAGCTACAAAATGACTAGGTTCGATATCTAAGGGTTTATCCTTGAGTTTTTTATTGTCTATTAGCGGCCAGGGTTGGTCGCGAAACATTCAACTGTGAAGCCCCTGTGGAGGGGAGAGCTGGACTCCGTACTCTCTGAACATTTAAACCAGTTATAAGTGTACGCTACCTACACGCCATATTGTTTCTTGAATTTTCTCGTCAGTTAAAATTGATATTTACGGATAGTAAACCTGTGTGATTTTTCGTAGCTAAGGCACTTTGAGGTACATATCTTTTTATATATATATATGTTGGATAAAAGGAATTGATTTATGTATCTTCGCAAATACGAGTTTAAACCTTGTGAATATGTTTTAGTTATTAAATCATTGTCAGAATCCCTTTTTCCTTAAAAAGGCTTGATTGTAACGATATAAATTGAGTTTTACAGAGGCCTTAACTTTTGAAGGATTGTGTGCTAGATTCTTTTTGCTTGTATGATTCAATAAAGTTTTAATTCGGTCAATCTTTAGATTGAACCGTGTATCCTGTAATTAGAGCCCTGATTATTCTGAGACTGAGAGATTGTAGAAGAGTCTAAGGAGTCATGAAATTATAGGAAGTTCCAATCAACCTGAGCTACAAAATGACTAGGTTCGATATCTAAGGGTTTATCCTTGAGTTTTTTATTGTCTATTAGCGGCCAGGGTTGGTCGCGAAACATTCAATCTCAAAATCTTAAAAGGGGTTGATTCTTTTAATTTTTGAGTAATCTATATGATTTAGTAATTGATAAGTGATAATGCCTTTACCGCGAACTCCGCCTGTGGGGCATGATAAATTGATGGGAGGGGGGAGAAGACGTTCAGCCTCAGAAAGTGATGGGGATGTTATGAATAGTACTTTAAACCCAAGCCAAGCCCGTCAATTGGATAGAAATAATGAGATTTCAACTTCTACTCCTCAGATTAATGTTTCGGGATTTATTGATGATTCTTTCCGTAATAATTTGGGGACCAGACTACAGACTAGAATCCATACCAGATCCAAAGGGGATTCTAGGTCGAATGAATTACTTAGATCCAAATATCTTAAACTTAGAGAGAATATAAATGAATGGGGGGCTATTGATTTCACTCTCTCACAGTCCATGCAGTTTGTTAATTCTAAATATGATGGTTTCTGTAGGGATATTGATCAATGCATTGAGGGGTTTCTCCTTAACAGGGGGGATCCAGGTCTTATTGGGGAGTTGAATAGTTTAAAGGATAGACTGAAGGCTATGAAGAGACGAGCTATAGCAACAATCCAGGATGCCCCAGTACTAGATGGTTTTGGCATAGGATGGTCTAGTTCACAACAATCTACTGCTGTTCAATCTAATCAAACCTTAAGCAGGAGTATGAATTCAGACAATGTATTCAGAGATGATCCTGGAGAAGTTAGAACGGATTCTAACAAATCTCTGCCTGTTTACCTTCCTGGAGTGAGTCTGAATATGAATATATCTAGGGTTACATCACCACTGGAGAACATTAGCAGGGACACTGTAGTGGCACCTAGGTCGGAAAACCGTATCATTGCAGTAGATACAGGTTCCACCTGTGCTAGACAGAACCTGGATATGCTGGAATCCAACCTTCGTCAATCTGATGGGAACCGTATCTTCAAGACTAAAGCGAACAACCTGGTAATAAATCCTAGCCTACCGCTAGCAGATACTCTTGATGGACAGCATGGAGCCCTTTCCAATCCTCAAATTGCAATAGAGATTATTTCCAACTACACTGATTTCTGGATGGATAATCTTCGTTCCTATCAAACCGTACTGGAAGAGAAGGTGGAAAATATATCCAAAACTGTCAGGGATATGGAATTATCTCTACAAGGGATGGATATCTTATGTAACTCAACTAAGAATGCAGTGCAAGAGATCATAATCAACAATTCAGAGATTCTGCAGAAGATTGATGCCCAGGGAGCAAGTTTGGATAACTTTGAAGTGGAATCCAAAAGAACGGAAGCTGTAATCTTTGATAAGATCCGCTGTATCCAGGTTTGGGTTGATGATATCAGAGAAAAATCTATTCCTGAAGTTCCAGCAGAGATAATATCCTCATTGCAAGAAGTGATAAATGACAGTGCCCCAGGTATTGCAGTGGAATCCATTCGAGGTGAGATGAGAGAATTAAGAAGAACCGTAGTAACTGGACAACAAATGACTGAAGGTTTGCAAAACATTGTGATTGATCTATCAGATCAAATTAGAGATACGTCTGTGATGCAATCCTACCCCGGAGATGTGATGGCTTCTAGGATGGTTGAGAGAGATGATAGCAATTCAAAGGAACGAGAGGTTGTGAGGAAAGGGATCGAAAGGTTGGAGAGACAATTGAGGCAGCTTACTGATAGTGAGATCAATGAAGAACCTCTGGATATTCCTCTGATCAAGAAATGTAAAACCGTCGATGTCCCGAGTATTCATAATGCTGTAGAACATATCCAGAAAGCTGTACAGAGATATATCAAGTTTCCTGGTAGCGATGATAACTACGTGGACTATGTTACCGATCTTTTGGATGATGCGGCCAACTGGTGTTCAAAAGTAGAAATACTGTACAACAAGGCAGAGATCCACAGCATCAATTCATCTAAGGGGGATACTAATGATGTAGGAGTATTTTCTGATAATGCGAAGGTTACTATATATGAGTTTTTAAACTCTGCAGAGATAGCTTATATGGGATGGGGAAACTCTAGACAGAGAGCAAACCGGCTGTATAACCGCCACCTCTCCGAGGAAATCAAGAGCAAGCTGATTAACAAGTCTGATTCGTACCAGGAGATGAGGCA